GTTCTTGGATGTCTATGTTATGCCAAAGTTGTATCTTGTCCCGATAAATTTGCTCATAGATCGAAAGCTTGTGTTATTTAGGCTATCTTTACTCATAAAAAGTTTATAATGTCATGAATTTACATACTTAACAAATATTTATGTCTTGTGATTTATTGTTTCATGACTCATTATTTCCTCATCATTCTTTTTTTGTTTCACCGGATACCGGTTCTATCCATAATTCTCCTACCATACATAATACTAAATTCGTTTATCGGTAGATATTTGATGATGAAATATCACTATCTCCTATGTCTTCTCCTTCGTATTCAATACTTCCTTTCTTAGAATCATCCTCTTTTTATCCTGCTTCCTTAGACCATTCTCCTAGTCCTCTCGCTTCACCTCATAGATCCGATCTAATTCATCCTTCCAATTTGACTAGAGTGTCCAAACAACCTTTTTGGTCTAAAGATTTTTCTTATCCTACTTTACCTCAATCTAACACTACTCATTTAACTCTTATTATTCCATATTCTATGGTAGACTAAATTTCTTTCAATTTATTTTCTCTAACCCATTTAGCCTTTCTTTAATCATTTCTTTTGTTAGAGAACTTAATTCTTACTCGAAGTCATTACGAATCCTAAGTGGATAAATGCTATGACTAAGGAACTCCAAGCTTTTAAATTAAACAAAACATGACACTTAGTTCCTTTACCATTAATAAAGAAGCCTATAAGTTGTAAATGAGTTTACAAGGTAAAGTTTCGATCTAATGGCGGTATGAAAAGATACAAAGCCAAATTAGTGGCTAAGGAGTATGCCCGGTAAGAAGAGATTGACTATGGTGAGACTTTTTCTCTAGTAGTTAAAATGATCAATCTCGGGATTATTATTGTTTTAATTGTTATATAGGGTTGGTTTCTTTATCGGATGGATATTACAAATGTATTTATGTAGGAATATTTTCATGTATAAGTTTATATGACTTTGCCACTTAGACTTAACACTCGGGAGAAGGGCTTAGTATGTAAATTGCTCAAGTCCCTTTATGGTTTGAACCTAGTTTCAAGACAATGGACTTCTAACTTTACTAGAAAAAAATGATATTTACGGGTTTTCTCAATCAAACACATGATTATTCTATGTTCCCTAAGATGACATATGGTAAAATGATTGTCTTGTTAGTATATGTGGATGATATTTTGATTACAAGAAATGATATCGAAGGCATATAATAGTCGAAGATTTTTCTACATAAAATTTTTATATCAAAGATTTGGAAAGCTTGAAATACTTTTTAGGAATAGAAATAGCTAGATCCAAGGATAACATATTTTCGAATCAAAGAAAGTATACTATGGAATTATTACATGATGCAAGATGACTTTCTTCAAAACCAGTGAAGATGTCATTAGAACGGAACTTGAAGCCCACCATTATGCAATTTGATGAAGCAATTTAGAATGAAAGTCAAGACACAATCTTGACGGATCTTATTGAATATTACGGAGTTAGTGGAAAACCGATATACTTAATAGTAACCAAACCTAATATATGCTATACGATACAAATCCTTAGCCAATTCATGCATCAACCGAAAGTATCTCATATGAATTCAACAATCGAGTTCTTAAGCATCTCAAAGGTAGTCTAGGATTGGGTATTTTGATATCCTCATCTAGTGATTTGAAACTTAGAATATTTTATGATTTCGATTAGGCTTCTTGTCCTATGACTAGAAAGTCTTTACCCGGTTTTTGTATATTCCTTGGTAATTCATTCTTATCTTAGGGAAAAAAAAAACCACGAGTCTTTAGGTCTTCGATTAAGGTAGAGTGCACATGTGAAGTAGTTTATTTGGTGTTGCTTTTAAAAGAACTACGGATTATAAACTTAGAAGCTGCATAAATAAATTATGGCAATAAGGTTGCCTTACACATTGCTTCAAACCAAATAATTCATGAAAAAACTAAATACATAGAGATTGATTGCAATTTAGTTAGAGATAAGCTTGAGAAGGCCGATTAAGACTCGTGTTTGTTAAATAGGAGAGCAAATTACGGACATTTTTAGAAAAGGACTTGGTAGCAAGCATCATCAATATATTTTGTCCAAATTATGTATTTATGACTTGTATAAACCACTAGCTTTAGAAGATGTATTAAGATGAGAATTTATACTTAGTATTTTCTATTTGCACATATATACATATAGTGTATATATGTGAGATATAGAGGATTATAGCTAGAATGTTTTTAAATTGTTGTAACAAACTTGTAACTAATTCATTCATGAATACACAGTAGCAAGAACTTTTCCAAATTCTCACCTCTTTAACAAAGTTACTGTATTTCACCAACAGATTGTGATTATTGATATAGTGGCTTGGCACATGTTGCTTGAATAATCATTTAATGTTTGGTGCAATTAAAAAAATAAAAACTCTCGCTCATGTTCAAAGTTACTAGTTTTGTTTTATATGATTTTTTAAGATGTAACAATTTTTTTTTAAAAAAAAAAACAATAAAATGAAGTGGGTAAAATTTATACAAATTATGATTTTTGCTTGTTGGTGTTCCTCAAACATTACTGCCGCAGGCAGACAGCTACACAAATATATTATATTTCTAACTATTTTCTTTTTTCTAGAATTACTCTTGCATGGTCCATAAATAAACGTATGAGTTTTCAAGAGAAGTAAATAAAATTATGAGGTTACTTTCCTCTTTTTTTAAAAAAATAAAAAATAAAAAATAAAAAAACATGGCTGAAGCTTTCGGGTTTCTCTATTGTTTTTTCCCCGGGCCCATTTGGGCTATCTGTAGAAGAAGGCTAAAAAGAAGCAGTCCAATAGAACAATGCAAGCTCCAATCAAGCTCAGCAAAACAAGAATGGTTTTTTTTTTTTTTTTTTTTTTTTTTTTTTAAAAAAAAAAAACACCAGTTCCTTCTTCTCGCTCTCATAATTGCACACTTAGCCAGCATCTTCTCTCCTATCCTGGTATGCTCCTAAGCTTGTAACTTTCTGTTTACAAAATTGTGGTTGAGTTTTATTGGTTGTATTATGAATGTTAATGCAAATTTTGTGCTGTTAAATTATGTCTTTTAGGTACTTGTTGAAGCAGTTTTTTTAAAAAAAAAAAAAAAACGAAAAAGTAAATTGAAATAAAGATGCAGAACGAAGAAGGTCAAATCATGGAGCTTTACCTCCCCAGGAAATGGTATTCAATCTCATTTATATTATTATAAAATTGATTCCCTTCAGTTATTATTTGGGGCTTTAAGTTGGGACTTTGTAGCTAAAACACTGTGTGAATGTGCGGCTCTGCCACGAATAGGTTGATAACTTCCAAGGATCATGCCTCCGTTCAGATGAATGTAGGCCACTTGGATGAGTATGGCATTTATAATGGTCACTTCAGTACTTTTGCCCTCTGCGGTTTCGTTCGTGCACAGGTCAGTTCATTGTCTTTAGTTTGTGGTACTTGGATTTTGTTCTTTAGTTTGACCATCTGCATAAATTTATGCTGGCATTTGATTATTAGATTTCTACTCGTTTCTTGTTGTCTCTGTATGCATGTTTTTGAGATGTGCCTTGAAGAGGTTCTATGTTTGGATAAGATATATATATATATATTTTGAAGGAGAGGTTCTAACTTGACTCGAGACCTCTTGGAGGGATGGGGGACACAATTCCAGTTTAGATAGAACTCATTGGCATTGCCTTGGTTAAGTTAGCAGGTCCTTAGCGATGATTTCACCAAATGCGCTTTTTTTTCCTTCCTATGATTTATTATCGGGTTATTTCTGTGCATATTTAGTTTTGCATCTATGAGTGATTCATTGGGGGGAGGATTGATCTTGCTTCCTCTTTGTTTTTTGTAAAATTTTGTTTTGCACAGAGTTTTTGGATGTGTCCTTCTTTCCTTAATACATGAACCTGTTTGTTTCTGAACTTCTCCCTTATTTCTCCAGGGGGATGCTGACAGTGCATTGGACCGGCTCTGGCAGAAGAAGAATGCTGAAGTCCGACAAAAGTAGAATGAGATGCTTGATGCCTTTATCTGCTGGAGGAGGAAGATTCTGCTGTTAAGACAGTTGATATGCTTTCCTAGTACTAGTTTTTGAACTTTACAGCTAGGTCCAAAGTTTTGCCTTGTACTTGAAAGAACATGGTTTTTTCGCACCAGCTGATGACCCAATTCTTTTGTTTATGAATAATCGACTTCGCATATGTGTTACCAAGCTAGTTTAAAAACAAACTCAAGCAGTTACATAATTGCTTGTTGCTGGTTTGAGGGATGTTTGCTGAATGAAATAGAATCTACTGTGTTTACGAACTGACATGAAACCAATGTCCAAATGTTCTGTCACAAGCTCGGTTATTGTTACCATGAGAGTTGATTGAACGAAACCATCATGGTTTCAGCTTACGCATGTGTTTTTCTGCACCAGGCTGCCATTGCTGAGAATGCTGAAATATGCTGTTAGGATGGTGCTAGATCATAAGCTCTCATCATTTCTTTCCTGTACTTGGGTTAATCCATTTTGTGCTAGTTTTAGTATCTAGCTTAATTAGTGGTCCATCGAGTCAGTAAAAGACAATGGTTTTTTTTTTTTTTTTAATATATTTTTGTATCGATGAATCTCCTCTCAAAAACACAAGACGTCAGGGAAACACCATGGTAAATACAGAAGTGAATAAGAAGAAAAATAAGAAGCGCAACTGGAATTTATTGGCGGGTGAAATTTTGGGGATATGCCGTGCTTGAAAAGCAAACGAGTCAACAAGTCAAAAACGAGAAAGCTGGTCAGACCAATGGTCCGATTCCTGAATATTTTTGTTTAAAAAAAAAAGGTCATGATGCTGGACCTCAAGAACAATAACGCGTCAACAAGACAACAGCAAAAGATATTTTGCAATCCAAGGAGTCGAGAGGATCCCGAAACCCTAAGCAAAGCTCACACATTATTATAAGCAACTCAATTTGAAGGCAACTGAAGAAATAATCAATGGATTTGAGTCCAACAAAACTTGATTACTACCATGACATGTGGAAACTCCAATCCAGAGCCACCCTCCTCTCCTTCTGCAAGGTTTGCTTCTCTTTCAGTTCTTACTAAGCTACATTTTAATCCCTTATAGACTAAAGAAGTATTAAAACTTTGGATTATTTTTTGGTTTTGTTTTTTGTATGGAAGGGAGAAGATGGTAGAAATGCTTTGATTTTAGACTCAACAATCTTTCATCCTCAAGGTGGAGGCCAGCCAGCTGACACTGGAGTCATCGCCATTGCTGCTGATTCCAGTTTCAAGTTTATCGTCCAAGATGTTCGATCCAAGGATGGAATTGTAAATTTTCCTCTCTTTGTTAGTTTTTAAATTATTGGGTTTTTCTTGATTTCGTTGGTAAAAGGTATTTGCTCGGTATTATTTGTAGGTCTATCATTATGGAGTTATTGAGGAGGATTCTGGTAAGGATTTTGAAATGGAAGTTGTAAAAGGGAGAGAAGTTTTGTTGTTTGTTGATGAGGCGAGGCGAAAACTGAATTCAAGGTGTGTAAAGATTTATTAGTAATCAATTGTGGGTTTGACTTTGATCTAATTGAAGTTTTTAGGGTTACTTAACTTGGATTGGAGAGCTGCAGGGTTTTTTTTTTTTTTTTTTTTGAAATTTCAGTTTACGTTGTTTTTTATTATGTAGGCTGCACTCAGCTGGGCATTTGTTGGATGCATGCCTGGAAGATGTGGGATTTAGACATTTGGAGCCTGGAAAGGCTTACCATTTTCCTAATGGGTATGCTTTGGATTGCAAAATTTTGATGTCTTCAGCATGCTCTTTTAATGCTTGTAATGTCTGAATTCATAACAATCATATAACGATCAGCTGCAAAATATGGAAGCGTTTCATGCTTGTGTAATGCCTCGAAGCTCTTGTAGTTTCTGGGTTTAGCTGCATGCAGAATCTTTTTAGTTTTCAAATTGTAAGTTTTGTAGTTCATATGTTTTTAGCTATGGACCCAGGCAATCTTATAGTTGGTGTACATATCAGGACTTAGTTTTTCTTGTATATCCAAAAGGCTTTTTTATAGGGAAACATTTCTGCTTTGCGATGGCATTCAAGTGGCTCGTTTTTGGCAGGCCATTTGTTGAATATAAAGGCACAATCCCTCAGAATGAATTGCAGAGTAAGCAAAATGAATTACAACTAGCAGCAAATGCATTAATATCCAGGGGAGGCAAAGTAAGTTACATCTTTTACTAGTGTTTGACGATTTCAATTGATACATGTTCTGTTTGCTTCAGAAACTATTTTTCTTCGTACAGGTTTCTGCTGCTGTATTGCCTTACGAAGAAGCTGCTGATTTATGTGGTGGTTTCCTTCCTGATTACATACCAAAGGTCTGGATTTGAGAGTGATCTTGCATAAGTTGTAATCTTCCCATCCCGCTCATCTTTGCATAAGAAATTTTGCATGTATTGGATAAATACCATGTTTGTCTCTGGTGTGCCTGAAGGGTTTGAGCACAAGAGTCCCAGTGTTTCCTAGTTGATAGTGTTATCCTGTTCTGCAAAAGATGGGTTATAGCTTGCACCATCCTGGTGAAATAATTTTCTTGTGTTTTTCCCTTTTCCCGGAGGAATTTGAGAGTTATCATGCTATTTTCTGTGCTGCTTTTGTTTTTGCTGAATCTCAGTTAAGCTATATAAGCCAGTACTGCATTAAATAGTAGATACTGACATTCCAGTCCCTACAGGCTTTGTTCATGCATGACAACAGGTTTCTACTGTCTATTAGATCTTTACTGTAGCCTATTTTTGCATCTCCTGCAGGGGAGCAATCCTCGTGTGGTGAAGTTAGGGAACAACACCGTTTGCTGTGGTGGTACCCATGTTTCTGATATTTCAGAGATTATAAGTTTGCAGGTAATTGTAGGTTGCTTTAACATATATATGAGGATCCATTTCTCTGTCTATCTCTCTCAATAAATGTTGATTGGTATCACGAAATTACCTAAAAATAGGATGAGCAAAGAGATGTCCAAACACTACATCATCCTTCCTATTTAGATAGGAATCATAAAAATTGATGGGAGTTGCAACATTGATGTTTGGTTATGCATCAGGCTTGCATACATTTGCATTAATACCCTACACGATACGATGTAATGCTACAGAAATACAGTTTTTTTTTAATTATTTTTAATTATTTTTATTTTTTTATAGCATTGCTAAGGTGAAGAAGGAAAACAAAATAACATGGATCTTAGAATAAGCAATTTTGATTTCATCATCTGCATGGTAAACTGAAAGTGAATTGGGGTTTTATGATTTCGTCATGTTTCCTGTCATGAATCACCCTAAAAAATGTATGTTGTCTACCAAGAACTTAGCCTTTTGTGATGTTGGTGGATGTTGTTCAGGTTTCTCAAATTCGGACAAAGAAGGGAGTGACAAAAGTTTTTTACACTGTTGGATCTTAGTACTCTTTGAACAATTCTGTAAAATCATGTCACGATAAACCACTTCTGTATGTTAAAAGTATGATATGCAGCTTTATGATGCTCTCCTTATTTAGGTGGCTTAAGCCGTTACTCGAAGAAGGTCTTTAGAATGTTTTCTTTGGTATGGTCAAGGATGGACAACTATGAAGGTCTAGAAGTGTCTTGTGCATGTATGAATTTTCAAAAGACATGCTGCCATTTTTCCATCATTGATGTGATGGACATGGACTTGCTTTATTTCCCATTACACTGAAAGAGATGCAGATCATTCAGGAGGTGTTTGATTCACTGAATTTAGTTTTTCATTTTTGGCCGGCTGTTTGCATTTTGCAAATTTGATCTCCATTGTTTATCAGGCAGAATTGATTCACCAATCGTTGTCTTGGGCTGGACCTGGTAGATTTCCTGGGATAGCTGATGTTCACATATATTAGTCTTGATGACTGTTGACCGGTAAGAAGAAGTACCTATCCATTGCCATTTTCATATCTAGTCTGGATGACCTGACCAGAAGCCAAATAAATGCATGGAAAATAAAAAAAATTCATGAAAAGTAAATACTGCAATATCAAAATCCTATGGGCTTGTTCCTGTGGTTCCAAGTCCACTGTCACCATGGGAACACACCACTGTGTCTGTAGTCAAGATCAAGAACGCAGCAACTGTGTACTACCTGTGCTGGTTGTGGTCCACAAAAATATAACTGCTTGCACATCCAATGTGGGGTTCTCGTGTATTGAGAGGTCATCTTCTCATGTGCCCAAGTCCCTACCTACCATATATATATATATATGTATATATATTATGCAGAATCATTTTCAATCTGTTTTGAGTGCGATTAGGACATAGGTCAGCATTACTATTACTATAAAATTAAAAGAGGTGAGGTGTTTTAACAGTGATTTTTACTATTCATTTTCTTATAAATCACTATTCATTTATTGTAGTTAGTTTTTTTTTTTTTTTAATTTTCAAGTTATTTCATTTTGATACTTAAAATTTTAAAATAAAAATTTAAGTTCTAGTTGATGCACTACACATGTTTTTTTTCTTTGATTTTTTTATATTTAACTGGCGTTAAAATTTTAAAAAATCAATTGTTATTTTTTTCACATAAATTGACGATTATATAATATGTACGATATATTTTTAGATTTTAGAATAAATATATACTACTCTTATTATTTAAAATTGATCTTTTCAATTTATTATAAAAATTCACATCAAGTTAATTTTTATTCTTATTTTTATATGATTTTATTTATTAATAAATATGATTTATTTTTTCTATGTATGGATTCGAATAAGTTTTTTCTTTTTTATATACTTGTTTTTATTTACTTAATTCTTATATAATCAAATTTTAAAAATAAAATATATGTATTTTAGTTCCCTATATAATCAAATTTTATCAAAATAAATTTTATATTTTTTCATTTCATTTTATTAACTTCAATATATATTTTATAATTTATTTTTAAAAAAATATTTTTCAATTTATGCCATACATTCTCACTCATTGAATATGGTCATGATGTGTAAAAAAATAATATTACTCTATAACTAAAAGAAGTAGGGTGTCTGAATAGTTTTCATTATTCACTTCCTCACAAACCACCATTCACTTATTGTAGCTAGTTTTTTTTTTTTTTTTTTTTTTTTTAATATTCAAGTTGTTTCATTTTGGTTTTTAAAATTTTAAAAATAAAAATTTTAACCCCTAGTTGATGCACTACATGTTTTTTATTTTCATCAATTTTTTTTTTATTTAACTAGGTGTTAAAATTTTGAAAAATTAATCGTTATTTTTTTTCATATAAACTGACGATTATATAATACATATGATATGTTTTTAGATTTTAGAATAAATATATACTACTTTTATTGTTTAAAATTGATCTTTTTAATTTATTATAAAAACTCACATCATGTTAATTTTTATTCTTATTTTTATATAATTTTATTTATTAATAAATATGATTTATTTTCTTTATATATGGAATCGAATAAGTTTTTTTTTTCTATACCTGTTTTTATTTGCTTAATTCTTAAATAATCAAATTTTAAAAATAAAATATATTTATTTTATTTTCTTATTTTTTATATAATCAAATTTTATCGAAATCAATTTTATATTTTTTATTACACTATATTAAATTTAATATATATTTTATAATTTAATTTTTTTAAATATTTTTCAATTTATATTATACATTCTCATCCATTGAGTACAATCGTGATGTATAAAAAAATAATATTAGTATATAACTAAAAGAGTTTGGGTATTTGAATAGTGATTTTCATTGTTCACTCCTCACAAACCACTATTCACTTACTATAGCTAGTTTCTTTTTCTTTTCTTTTTTTGTAATTTTTAAGTTTTTTCATTTTGGCATCTAAAATTTTAAAATAAAATTTTAACCCCTTAGCCGATGCAAGTACACATGTTTTCTTTTTTAGTTTTTTCCTTTGATTTTTTCCATCAAGTTATGTTCTTCTTTTTTTTTTTTTTAACTAGGTGTTAAATTTTTGAAAAATCAATCGTTATTTTGTTCACATAAAATGACGATTATATAAATATATGATATGTTTTTAGATTTTAGAATAAATATATACTACTCTTATTATTTAACATTGATCTTTTCAATTTATTATAAAAATTTACATCAAGTTAATTTTTATTCTTATTTTTATATAATTTTATTTACTAATAAATATGATTTATTTTCTCTATGTATGAATTCAAATAAGTTTTTTTTTTCAATACCTGTTTTTATTTGCTTAGTTCTTATATAATTAAATTTTAAAAATAAAATTTATGTATTTTATTTTCTTATTCTTTATGTAATCAAATTTTATTAAAATTAAATTTATGTTTTTTATTGCACTCTATTAACTTCAATATATATTTTATAATTTAATTTCTTTAAATATTTTTCAATTTATGCTATACATTCTCATTCATTGAGTGTGGTCATGATATATAAAAAATAATAATATTAGAGTTATTGATTTTATTATAAATCAACTATGAACCTACATACAATACCAACTATTTGCTATTTTTTTAATATTTTAAAATTAATTTTTTTGAAATAATATTTTAAAATAACCACCTAATAATTTAAATAAAATTTTGTATATTAATATTATTCATTATTTTGTAAATAAATATATATAAATTAAATGTACATATTTAAAAAAATAATCTTCCCATCAGTAAAAAAGCTTCATTTGTTAATTTTCATAAAGTTTTTATATTAATTGTTGTTTTATTTTTTCAATGCGTTTTATTTTTTTGATGCAATGTTATGAAAAAAATATTAAAATAATTTTTTAATTTATATTAAAAAATTTTTATTATGGGTTTTTATTTAAGAATAAATGCATAAGGACGAACAAATCATATTTTGTTTTCCCTCAAAATTTATTCAAAACATATAAAAATATATATAGATACAAAATTTAGATTAAAAATTATAAAATTAGATAAAATTTTATCTTTTATATTTAATTTAATATAGTTTAATTAATCGAAAATGTAGTATATTTTTATGAAAAATTCTCATCCAATTAATATTTTTTATATAAAATTTTATTTACTGAAATATAATTTATTTTTCTCTAACAATAAAATTTTAAAACATGATCGTTTTTTCTTTTTCAAAAAATAAATTGGTATAATATATATCATGAATTCTTAGAATTTTTAAATAATAGTTGCATATATATATAAATATATAATTATTTTATTCTAAGAGGTTAAAAGTGTATTTCAAATAATTTATCTCGATTCATTAGGTATGGTCAAGACGTATAAAAAAAGTATTGAATCATTTTTTTAAAAAAAATATAACTATATATCTTCCAATATATAATTTTACTATAAATACTTTTTTAACATTATAGAACCAATTTATTTGAAATAAAATAATTAAAAGAATTTTTTAAAGGAACCAACCAATTATTCAAAGACATTTTTTTATATTAATTTTATTGATTATTATTTTGTAAATAAATATATAAAGATTAAAGGCATATGCTTTTAAAAAATAATTTTCTCACCAATAGTAAATAAGAATAAAATTTTATTTTTTCATTAGTTAATTTTTATGCAAGTCTATACATTAGTTGTAACTTTATTTTTTGGATACATTCTTATAAAAAATATATATATTTAAAGTATTTGTTTTTGAATTCTTAATTAATATTTTAGGTTTAAATTCTTATAAGTTTTTATTTAAAAATCTATGAATAAAGAAGAATAAATCATGTTTCTTTAAGCAATAAATTTTATGAAAAAAACACAAAAAAAAATATATATTAATAATTAAATAAAAATTTAATGAAATAATTATAAAATTTTGAAATAATTTTGTTATATCTAATCGTAATGTTCCGTAGATAATTTTCAAAATTAATTTTCTCATCAACATTAAATAAGATTTTTTTTTCGTTCGTTAATTTTTATAAAAATCTATCCATTAATTATAACTTTGTTTTTTGAAATACAATATTATAAAAAAAATATGTTTTTAAAGTTTTTTTTTAATTCTTGATTAATATTTTATTTAAAATTATTATAATTTTTTATTTTTAAATCAATCATAGAGAAGAATGGTTATGTTTTTTTTAAGCAAAAAATTTATGAAAAAAATTAAAAAGAATTAATTAAATAAAAAATTATAATTATAAAATTATAAAGAAGAATGGTTATGTTTTTTTTAAGCAAAAAATTTATGAAAAAAATTAAAAAGAATTAATTAAATAAAAAATTATAATTATAAAATTTTAAAATTTTAAAATAATTTTATTCTATTGGACTCACAAGCATAGCCGGGGCAACCGACTAGTTACATCTATATTGGTTTGCAATTGTTCGAAATAACATACTCCAACTCAGGGGTAGAAAGTAAATAGATCAATTAGATCTTTTTCATTAAAAGAAAAAAAAAAAAAAAAGCCCTCATTTTTTCAAA